GGAGATTCTTGAATTATGTGGCAGTCCTCCAAATGTCTCCAAAATATTATCCACAATTTTCCTGCAAATAATAATGCAAATAATTAGCCTCAGATGATCCAAATTAATTAAAATAAGAATTTTTGGTCAAATTAAGCACAATTAGCAAAAATGGGAAAATACTGGACATTCAATCACAATTCCCTGATTAAATCTAGCACAATAAGTTAAGTGAAATCAAGAAAATATTGACTCATCACTCATATACTCTTCTCTTTCAAACTTATTTCACTTAGTTTATGATTGATATGTTTTAGATAGTGTCTAACTAGTGTATAGTTTAGTGATGACAAAGTTTAGTCTAATAAGGCAGACTCTATATGAGTGTATTCTATTTATTTTTTTGGTTAAAGTGAGACTTAAATACTTGAACAATTGTAATTTATGTTTTCATTTCATTATAAATTTTGCTATCATCAAAGCCACTTTATCAATATTAACATCTAATGGAGTTTGTAGTGTCTTTAACACAACAAACTCTAAGGACAAAGAAAATCCACAAATATAACAACTCATGTTTCAAAATATTAGGAAGAAGATAATTATTATTTTGTATATGTATGTTGTTAATTTATATTTTTGTCAAGTGAGATATCCCTTATCATCTCATTATTATATTTTGATTTGGTATGATTTGATATGAACATATTATTATTGATTTCACTTTATATTTGACATTATTTGGAGAAAGTGAACATTTAAATTGTGTGTCATTGAATGTTTGACATAGGAGATTTAAATCAATGATATTTGAATCATATTAAATGGTTAATTACATTAAAGTTTATTTATTCTAACTAGTCATTACAAAAATAATTTAAATTGATTTGGTATGATTTGATATGAATGGAGTATTATTGATTTCACTTATAGCTGACATCATTAGGAGAAAGTGAACATTTAAATTGAATGTTTGACCTAGGAGATTTAAATCAATGATATTTGAATCATATTAAATGGTTAATTACATTAAAGCTTATTTATTCTAACTATTCATTACAAAAATAATTTAAATTGTTGTATGTAAATCAAATAGTGTGTATATATATATATATATAT